ATGATACCTGGTTTGGTTTGGGCTTTATTTGTGCTAATCATCATCTCTTGATGGATATTTTGGGGTTTTTTTTGAGTAAAAACCGATGCAAAAATATCATGTAATACCTAATCCTTCTTGGAATAATGCATCAAGTGCTCTCCTTTTTCCATTGGTTATAGGATCAATGTTTTCCACGTTGTTCCTCATTAACAGATGAAGAATACAATCTCATACACTGACTTTGTGTGTGTGTTGCTCAGGCTTCTGATTTTGACAGCTCTCACTGCAATATTTTATAGCTTTTTCCCCATTTCCCTGCTCCCTGTTTGATTTTTCCTCATTCTGGGAGCAGTTAAGGCACTGAGTTAACCAATCTCATCTTTCACCTTTTCATCTCCTCTGCTTTGGGGGAAAACACTGCTCAGCTGCACTTTCAAGGGGTGAAATTTTAAGATTCTGCTGTATTCAAAGTAGTATGGGAAAAAAAAAAAAGCAGCAAATAATGACACTCCACATCAGGTTTGGTGTATTTTTCATTTAAATAATTGATCTAAGCAGAACTTTCTCTAAAATAAACTGGATGAAGTCAAAACTTGTCCATGCCTTGTGCCAAATGGTCACTGCAGAGATGCTTTTTTTGAGAGGGTTAATAGGTGGCATGACAGATGGCATTAAAATTCAAATACCACTTTAAATGGTCATCACTGTGGATTTTAACAGTGTTTCTGGTGAGGTTTTGGTGATTTAGTTGTCAGCTTTCAGCATTTGGGTGACATTCTTCATTTCCTGTTGGAGAGCAACCTTACCTGTTACTTTAGTGACTGAACCCTGATTTTTGAGACCTGTGTTCCTGTTGTTTCTGCATCTATTTTAATTCTGCATAGGCAGAGGCATATCCTGTTGCACTCTGTGTGTCAATGTAATTGTATTTATTCCACCTTCTTTAATCTTGCATTTTTATTTTTTTTTTTTTTTCAGGAGTGAAATTCTTTTCCAAAAGACTTTGTGATCTGACTTGGTGGCACATTTTCTGTTTAATTATATTCAGATGCTTAAATTCATGATCTGTAGCACAGAAGGGCTTGAGAGAGCAGAATTTGGTTCACCAGCTGGGCACAAGAACACAAATTCTTGCTGAAGGGTGGTGGGGATTAGCAGGGTGATGATGCTGTGGATCACAGTGCTTAGTGACTTATTGCTTTTTGGGTGGGGGCTCAGTCTCCATTTCCTACTTCTGGGCAGCATCCAGCTTAATAATGGTGGATTTGGGAGCATGAAAATGTATTTGTAGCTGGGAAATTGAGTGGAGTATTTCACTGCTACTCTGCAAAAAGGGAGAAAAAAACCCCAAATGCAGTAACAGCAGATCTCAGGTTGCAGCAAAGTTTTGTGGTGGGGAGAAATGAGTGCTGTAGGTGAAATTCCAGCACTGTGCCTGATGAATTCAAGAGGAATTGTGTTCTTTTTACTTCCCAGGAATTAGCCCTAAGCATTTAGATTATAGGGTGGAATTTCTTTCTCCCTGAAACTTTGGCTGTGCTGAAAATATTTTGCTGGGAACTTCATTCTTTTATTTCAGCTATTCCTATAAAGCACCTCCAGAACAAGTCATTTGTCACTGCCATTAATCATTTACTACAGATCCTGTCTGCAGCCTCTGAGCTTCATAAAACAGACAGATCCTTGTCAGTAATCAATATTTGTAATATTTGTTAATATAAGTCTGTCGTTACTGACTCATCGTTCGAGATTAATTTGAGACAAAGCACTTTGTTATGGGACTGCTGATCACATTAGAAGCAAAACCAATAAAACCACTGAAAGCTGGATCCCTAACTTTGCTGGCACATTAAAATCAAAATGCATGGGCTTGGATCCTCATGTGGAACCTAACTATTAAGAAATAATAATGATGAGGCTTGACGCATTCCCAAATTGCAGAAAAGTCTTCATTAAGGAGCAGCAGCTGTTTATTTGCAGGAGCACATGGTCCAGTCAGCATGATAAGAACACTGTGGAGAGGGATCAGCAAGTTTGCTTTTACTGGAAAACACACATCTTTCTTCTCCCCTCTAATGGGTCAGTGTTAAAGAAGAGCTGGAGTTGGAGAATAATTAGTGATTTTCCATTTATTTTTCCTTTCCAGCCTGCCTCAGGCTAGGGAGGTCAAATAGATGCTAAGAGAAAAAAACTGCATCTGGAACTAGTCTGAAAATAAATACGTATCCCATGAGTAGTGCTGTGTACAATTTGCTTAGCCTTGGAAAACTAAGTTTGTCTGCCACTTGATTGCCTGCTTCATCGAGGAAATCTGCTTAGCCTGTAGGATTCTGAAAGCTCTTTTTCTTCATCCTCAAAATGTGAGGAATGTGAATTAACCATTTCCCATTCCTTGTTTCTTTCAGCTTTCCCTTTCACATAGCAAAGTCACATTACTCATCAGCTTCCTTTGGCTGGTTTGCAGCAAGGAGGTTTTTCAGTGAGCACAGACAAGCTCTGGATTTCCCTGCTCTGTAATGAGACTACAACAGCCTGAAAATCCTATGGCAATGCCATGAAATGACATCTGACTCTATCATGTCCTTCCTTGCGAGTCAGTGAGATGAATTTACAAATGCTGGATGCTTTCTAGGTAGAGGCATATCCTGTTGCACCCTGTGTGTCGATGTAATTGTATTTATTCCACCTGCTTTAATTCATTTGTAGTGCAGTCAGTGCCGTCACACCTTGGCACTGCACATCCAGCTATGAAATATGCATCTTGAGTAATTATTTCCATTCAAGAAGAGCTTGCCAAGTCCCTGGTTTTAAATGCCTTTCATCTGATATTGCAAATGAAACAGCCTTAAAAGTGGTTTTCCCTTTGCTTTGTCTAACAGTCCACAGGAGCCCACCTGTCCTCTTTACTAACACCACATTTCTACACTAATCTAAGGTGGAACTTGCTCAGCAGGAGGCTTTGAGGTGGCTTGGAAATAGGTGATGTGAGTCCTTGGCTGGGTTTCCACTCTCTGCTCCCTGCATCTGCTGCTCAGGTGTAAATGGGAGCTCCAGATGTGAATGGAAGCTCAGATATAATGGAAGCTCAAATATAATGGAAGCTCAGGTACAATGGAAACTCCAGATGTAAATGGAAGCTCAGAAATGATGGAAGCTCCAAATGTAAATGGAATCTCCAGATGTAAATGGGAGCTCAGGTGTAAATGGAAGCTCAGGTGTAAAGGGAAGCTCAGATATAATGGAAGCTCAGGTGTAAAGGGAAGCTCAGATATAGTGGAAGCTGAGGTACAATGGAATCTCCAGATGTGAATGGAAGCTCAGATATAATGGAATCTCCAGATGTGAATGGAAGTTCAGATATAATGGAAGCTCCAGATGTGAATGGAAGCTCAGATATGATGGAAGCTCAGGTACAATGGAAGCTCCAGATGTGAATGGAAACTCAGGTGTAAAGGGAAGATCAGATGTAAATGGAAGCTCAGGTATGATGGAAACTCCAGATGTAAATAGAATCTCCAGATGTGAATGGAAGCTCAGATATAATGGAAGCTCCAGATGTGAATGGAAGCTCAGATATAATGGAAGCTCCAGATGTAAATGGAAGCTCAGAAGCACCAGTCTCAAGACTGGGCAGGGTTTTGAAGCTGACCTGGGGAGGAATAAGATCTGTAGACCCCTCAGGCCTCCCTTTACCTGTAGCTCAGATTATGGGCCCCAGGGAAACTCACGAGTCCACAACAAATTAAATAGTTACAACAAATTAAATAGTCTCTTAAATATGATACAGGATGTACCTAAACAAGGCGTTCTTAATCAAGCTTTGCTGTCGTGACTTTGTGTAGATTCTATGTTGCATTTTTTTAACAGGGCTTGTATTTCCTTCTGTAAAGTGTCTGGGATAAAATTCAGTTTATCCTTCACAAACTCTTGCAGAACTCAGCTGAAGCATAGTCCAGAGAGTAAAGCAATCTGTTCCAAACTTTCAAAATTCTCTCAAAGCGATCAAGGTTTTAATTTGGGTCACTGGAAAAGCCTCATTGAAGAGGCACAGGTGGCTTAGCTGTCCTCACTGAAACATTGCAACAACTGCATTAGCTTGAAAGAGTGAGTTTATTATTTTTAAAACTGCTATGACCTTCTCAATATCAGCCACGTGTCACCTGATGTGTATATTCCATTTTTATGATTGGGCAAATCCAAATACTTCCTCACTTTGGGCTAAAGAAGCTGCAAAACTCGGGACTCCTAGGTTTTAGCATTCTTATTAATTCAATTAATAATAACTTAATGCTTTTAAAATAGATTTCTGCGTTGCTTCAGTTGTTCATCCATCATTTTATCAGGATATGGAATTAGTTCCAATTTCTAAACATTCCAAACAGTTCCAAACTCTCTGCACAGCAGCACAGAGAGCACAAAAGCCATGAGCTGTGCCTTTGTGTGCTGCTTTCTGCTCCACTGTACCTCCTACAGAATGGAAGTTCTTAGGTTCTGTAGGTTCCTAGACCTATACACAAGTGCTGGTTGTGGGAGAATTCAGCCTACTGGTAGAATTTCACCTTACCTTGAGGTAATCTGGAAGAAACATGGAGATTTTTTATGATAGGACTTGACAATTTCATTTGTGTCCTTTGCCACGTACCAGACAGCTCAGCGTTGCATGTCTGAGTGAGAAGGGCATGAGGAGTAACCTCACCCTGTGAACTTTCAAGCAGTCCAGCTTGCAAAATGTGTGGGTAAAAAAGAAAAAGTTTCTTTTCTCTGAATCTCTGGAGACTGCATTGATGGGAGGCGCCTCTAATGGCCCAGCATCCCCCAGTCTTGTTGGGAGTCTCTTGTGCGACAAAAGCTTGCGTTTATATTCATAATGAAGAATTTGAATTACCTACACTACCTTCCACTGCAGGTTTCTAAAAAGCACTAGATTTAAATAAAAAAAAAAAAAAAAAAAAAAAAAAAAAAAAAAAAAAAGCACAAATTCCTCTGCTTCATTCCATTTTTAACTCCGTTCTTAACAGGTTCCAACTATGGGAGTCCCCGTCCGGCTCACGCCAACATGAACGCCAACGCGGCGGCGGGGCTGGCCCCGGAGCACATCCCCACGCCGGGGGCAGCCCTGTCCTGGCAGGCTGCCATCGATGCTGCCAGGCAGGCCAAGCTGATGGGCAGTGCTGGCAACGCCACCATTTCCACGGCCAGCTCCACTCAGAGGAAGAGGCAGCAGTACGGCAAGCAGAAGAAGCAGGGCAGCACCACGGCCACGCGCCCGCCGCGCGCGCTGCTGTGCCTGACGCTGAAGAATCCCATCCGCAGGGCGTGCATCAGCATCGTCGAATGGAAATATCCTTTGCTGCTCGTCCTGCTCTGCCTGGAGAGGGGTGGAGGGGTGGGTTTGAGTTGTTGGGTTGAGTTGTTTGGATGAATTCATGGGATTCAAACCAATGTCCCCAAAGAGGAAGGGAATCGATGCCTGAGGTCGAAAGGCACCACTGGGGCGCTTCAAAATCCACAAATAATTTTTGGTGTCTTAAGTGAGGTGGTTTATGCTGAAGTGGGGCACGCCAGGAAAGAGGATTAGAGCTGAAAGCTGAACTCTGCCCCTCTGTGAGGAACCACTGGAATTTCGGGTGATAAAGCTCAAGTGGTTGAGTTCTGCTCTTTGGAAAAGGTGTGGCCCAGGCTGAAATAAATGCAGGGGAGATATTCAAAGTATCTGGGGTCAGAACTGACCTGGCTCTATGGGTATAGATATGGATATATCTGTCTGTCTGTCTATCTATCTGTCTATCTATCTATCTATCTATCTATCTATCTATCTATAGATATAGATATAGATATAGATATAGATATAGATATAGATATAGATAGATAGATATGTATATATATAGATAGAGATAGATATAGATATAGATAAATAAATAGATATAGATAGGTAGATAGATAGATAGATATGGATATATAGAGATATAGATATATAGATATAGATATAGATATAGATATAGATATAGATATAGATATAGATATAGATATAGATATAGATATAGATATAGATATAGATATAGATATAGATATAGATTAGATATAGATATAGATATAGACATAAAAATATAGACATAGATATATAGATATAGATATATAGATATAGATATAGATAGACAGATATGGATATACAGAGATATAGATATAGATATAGATATATATTGATATCAATAGATAGATATAGATATAGATATATATTGATATCAATAGATAGATATGGATATATAGATATATAGCTATAGTTATAGTAATAGATATAGATATGTAAATATGTAGATATATAGACATATAGATATATAGACATATAGACATATAGATACATAGATATATAGATATATAGATATGGATATATATAGATATATATCCATGTATATCCATGATATATAGATATATATCCATATACATGTGGATAGCAGCTGCTGGCTTTCCCCCTTTTTTAAAATTTTGATTGTTTTTTAGAGGTGTCACCAGTGCAAAGCTCTGGTGCTTTGAATCATTTTTTGTTAAACGTGTGACATCGCACTTTTTACAGCATGGAGAATAGAATGGGGCAGAAGGTAAAACACAGAACAAGGTAAAAAAACCCCAAAGGTACTCAGTGAGACCCTGAGACTGGGCTGAGAGCTGTCAATTATATTGGACATCCAGTTAAAATAATAAGGCTCAGTAGTGGTGAGGGATAATGGTTATCTAGAAGAAGAGAACAAGAAATACTGTTAAAGTGAGATGTCCAAAAGCAGAGCCAGATCTGAGAGTCTGAACAAGAGACAGATGGTGGCACAGATGATGGATGACAAGCACTGACACAGAACTGCAGAGGGAAGGGGTCAGTGCTGCTTCCCTGGGAAGTCAGGGAGAGTCAGATCCTTGCTCTACGGTGTGCAAGGAGCAAAGCCCCTTTAGTCACCCCAGTCTGATCAGTGCAGGCTGGAATCTGAGTCTTTGGTGTGAAACTCAGGCTGAAATGAAGTGTGTCTCCTCTGCATCCTCAAAGAGAAGCCAGGATTAACCCTGAGCAGCAGTCACAAGCTAATGGAGCTCTTCGGGAAACACAAAAGAGAAAGAATGTTTTTAGGGATAGATAAGCACGTCAAGGGAAGGCAGTACAGAACTTGGCAGTAGTTAACATGATAAAAAAATGAATTAAGGCATTTAAGACAATGTGATAATATTATTCCTTTGGGTGTCTGGTGGGATGTTGGGTGAAAACAGAAAAGGAGTATATTAGGTATTGCTGACATGGACATACTTTTCAGATGAAGAACTTGTTAAAAATGCTCCTGTCAATCCTTCCATGTCCTTAAACTACCTGCCTGCCTGTTCCTTCCTTCTTCAGATGCTAATTTTTAATCCCCTGATTAAGTTTGCTGCTTTTTATTGCTTCTGACATGAGTCTGATACTTTAAGCACAAGAAGATGGGTGATGACTAACAGGGTAAAACTGAGTTTAAGTTTTCTTAGCAGCACCCCAGTCACCACATGTCTTCAGAGAGACATTTGATAGGTGAATAAGATCAGCAATAAATGACTGGGAATGTTGTAAAGCAGTGTACAGCACTGCTGAGATCAAGAGATGACCAAACAGTGCAATTAAAGCAACACAAAGAGACTGAAGTTTGCAGTTTGGGGCTTTGTTTGGTTTTAGGTGAGTTGGTGGAAGCATTTTTCTTTTCCATCAGAACCCCTCACTGGACATTTAGAGTTTATAAACATAAAACAATGACAATGAGCAATATCAAAGGGTTGTGACAAGGTTTAGTTTAATTCTATATTCTGTCTTCTCCTACTTGCTAAAAACTACTGAGAAAGGCTCAGCCTAATTTGTTGTACCACTAAAATTCAGGCATAATAGATATTAAATATCAAACGGTACTTCAGTGGTGTTTCTTGCCCAAATGTTACAGTGTTCAGAGCCTTGAACTGCATTCAAGAAAAAGTGAAATGGAGTAATTACCTTGTTTTGCAAAGACTTAGCTGTGCATTTAATTTTCTGCCTTTTGTGCAGTGTATTTGTAGGTTTTATAGAATTTAATGTTTACAGTGCAAAAAGAGAATGCAAATAAAAGATGAAGTAACAGATAATAATCCTGCCCAAACAAACAAACAAAAAAATAAATTTGGGGTGGGGGGGAAATGATTCAGAGAGTCAAAGCCTATGGAAATCCAGGTTTTTTAAGCAGTAAATATTATAGGAACAGCCTGGGGTAGTGCATACCTGAGAAGTCTCATGTAGTCTTCCTCTCCTGACCTGCTCTCCTGCCTCTGTGGTACCATTCATCTCCTATCACTCAGAGGCTTAAGCAGAGCAGTCTGGTGAGTCTGGAACCCTCTGCCTGTTCCATATGTGAAATGCAGGATGGATGTGAGGATAAACAGCAGCCTGGCATTTGTGTACATCTTGCAGCTCAGCTGAGCACTCAGAGCTCTCCTGCTCTTTCTGCCCAGAGCAGCAGCCTGCTGACCACAATCACACCTGCTCTGCTGACTTTTGGCAGTCCCAGGGCAGATAAAGTCATGGCCAAATGCACCCCGTGGCACAGGTTGTGCTTGGCATTGTCCCTGCTCTGTCCTGCTCCTCATCCCCCCTCCAGAGCCCTGGGGAGCTCTCCCAGGAGCATCTCCAGGAGATTCTTGCAGTAAATGCAGAACAGACCCTAAATGTGGTCTCTGGTGGGACTTTGGAGCCACTTCACAGCAGCTGAGATCAGGGAGAGCATTGAAATAGATAAAGTGCAGTGCCAGGAGGCTGGGCAGGAGAAAAATGCCCTTTGCTTCCAGTGGACAGCCAGGGGGGCACTGGGCTGCTGCAGGATTTCTTTGCTGAGCATTCCAAAGGTTTGGTTCCTCTCTTGCCCCAGCAGAGCTGATGTGAAGCTGAAATTGAAATTGAGCTGTTTCTCTGTCTCTCAGCTTCCTGCTGTCCCTAATAAACTGTGCAGGGACCTTGGTGCTCCCTCTGATGCCAAATCAAATGCAAATTAGAGAGAAAGAAATCCTCCCTCAAATAATTTTTTCAGCAAAACAAGTGTACGTGGCAATGAGCAGTGTAAGCACATATTGGACACTATATTTTTGCTTTAACAAAATGAATCCTTTTTTAAACATCTTCTAGCTATGTATGCAGGTATTGCTTGAGTCCTCACATTTAACTCCAAGATATGACAGAGAAACTGAGAAAGGAGGGGGCAAATATACAGCAATGACAACAAAAGGAAAAAAAAAAACCAACAAAAAACCCCAAAAATGTTTGTTAAAATTATCAGAGAATTTATAAATGCAGATGAAAACAACCAAGAAAAAAGAATCCTAAAATAAGCAAGGGCAGTCATTATAGAACAGGTTTCTCTTATTCAAACTAGTGCAGCCACACTCAGAGGAAAATTGGGAAAATGCAATCTAAATAAGAAAAAGGAGAAAAAAACTCTTAAGAAATCTGTGTTTACTCTGGCACGCGACTGGCCTACACTGCTTTTGACTTATTAGGAAGATTTTTGGCTGGGAGCTCCTGAAAGCACTTAAAAAGGCATATGTTTCTTTTCAGAATATAAGGGGCTTGGAATGCTTTCTTTAAACAAAATTCTTATAATTTATTTTTTTTTTTAAAAATTTCTTTTTGTGTGCTCATTTTGGAACAATTTCCTTAACTCCATTCCTCAGACCATTTGAAATAATTATTTTACTGACTATTTTTGCCAATTGTGTGGCCTTAGCTATCTATATCCCCTTTCCAGAAGATGATTCCAATGCCACCAATTCCAATCTGGTAAGTCCTCCATGGAGTTTAGTCTTTTTATTTTGAAAATCCTTTTGAAAAGCCATTGTGGAGACTTGTGAAGGTGGGGAATGTGAAAAACAAAGAGTAGAACATCATAAAAATTGGTTTTGTTTGCTGTGTCTTGTCAATTTATTTTACTCTCTGTTTCAATGGAGCTGGTTTTGGAGAAGAATATCCCACAAAGGTGTTGTAGGTGATGTTTGGGTCAGCAAATTTCAGCATGCTGCAAAAAGCTGTTGGTGAATTTGAACCTGCAGCTATCTGGGGGAGATATCTTTTTTTACTCAGGGATTGTCTGGTGGTTTTTGTCTCGTGCCATTGTGAAGTTGGTGCTGTTCTCCTCTGGAGTGATTAATGATTAATTTGTGCTTGCATTTCAGACACCTGCATTGGTTTGAACAGGATTTTTTGTTTGTTTTTTTTTTGTTTGGGGTTTTTTGTTTGGTTTGGGTTTTTTAATATTTTTTATTTGTTTGTTATTTTTAATCATTTCCTCTTGTTGGGGAAATATAGCTTTTCTTCTGTCACCACTGATGCTGGTGTTGGTACTTTTGGGATTGAGCAGTCCATATAAAAAGGAAGAGTGTTTACTTTTGGCTTAGCTTGAAGCCATAGCAAAGAATTCTGTTCAGTGAGGGCAAAACACAAACCAGCTCTGGAACGCAGTTCCCTGAATTAGCAGAAAACATTTTTGAATTTTCTTTTTTTTTCCCTCTCAAATATGTGAATAAATCTCCTACTTGTCATGTTGAATCAGGATGAAAACTCACTCCCAGAGTTTAGGAGCAGGGATGCTATTTCCTGAATAGAATTTATTGAGACTTAAGAAATTTTAGAGCAACAGAGGAGGAAAACAAAAGCTATAGTTCTAAAGTAGCGACAACTGGGATGGCTGACAGACATTGTAATTAAAAAGATTCATGCTGCTCTTGGAAGTCAGTCATCTGATTAAATCTCTCTTGAAGTTTTAGAAAACACATTGCAAACTTCAGGAATTGCTGAAACAATACTTCTATGCTTAAAAAAAAAAAATAGAAAGTAGTAAAAATTTGGACTGTAACTCCCTAAAGAAGTTCAAAAAGAGGAGCAGGAGGTGGTAAGTGATTGGTAACTAATCTCTACACATGAGTTGGTTTTGTGGTCTCTTTGTTAGTGTGACTTGGTGTTTAACAAAGATGAATTGTGGTGTGTGTACTCAAAATACTTCACTAGGGCACCTCTCAAAAATGACTGTATTTTATTTAACAACATAAAATTCAGTCCATCTCCTGGTGAGGAAATGTTTGCTGCATGTCCTGACTTGCAAGGGTTCAAAGAGGAAAATGAAACAGGTTTGAAGGTCAGAGGACTCAAAAGAGGAAAATGAAGCAGATTTGAAGGTTAGAGGACTCACAATTTGAGTTTAATTGGGTTGTGGCTGTTTGCCTCGATTCAGAGAGGCTGGAAGTATGTTTGTACTTGAATGAGATGTATTGAAACTGTTCTGCTATCAAGAAATATGTGCACCTTGTAATTTGAGTTTCTATTCTGCATCTGTTTTCCAAGATACCTTTGCCCCACTTAGAATGTCTATAAAACCACTTGTGTTATCTGTGGGTAAAGTTTAAAAAAACCTAGCCAATCAAGAGCTGTCATCTCAGGCAAGTTTGGAAACATTACTGCCTTGAGGATGAGGAGGAATTGTTAATTTATCTAAATACTAGGGGAAGAAGAAAGTGAAATGAGTAATCTGCTTGACTCCACTTTGCGTCTTGATGATTAAAATAATTAAAACTGGAAAATGGGATGCTTGGTGTGGACTCTTCTATGTTATGGACCAAACTCTGGAGCTCTGGCTGCTCAGTGGGATGTGATCTCCTGCTGCTCTGTGTTTGCTGCTGTTGGGTTTTGTGTGTTTTGTTGCTGTTTTCTCAGTTTACACTCTCATCCTTTGGTGTGTGTGCACTGCTGGGGAGGAGCACACTATCTGAATATGCTGAATTCTGTGGGGAAAGTCCTGAGCCAGAGGGGGCAAAGGGCTGAGATCAGGGTGAAAAAGGTGTTAGTTGTGTTTGGGAATGGGATGAAGGAACAGATGGGAGTAAAAGAGAAGTTATCCCATCAAGCAGGAGATTTGCAGGAGTGGGACCTTACTGAGCCAAAGAGATGGGTGCATGGAAGAGATGGAAAGAAGCTGGGGTTAATAATATATTAATAATATGTTAATAATATATTAATAATATGTTAATAATAGGTTCCTGTGAAAACTCACGTACTCACTTCATCTTTGAATCTTTTTCTACCTGTGAGCATCTATTTCAAGAAAGAAATCAGATTTATTCTGTAGCCATGAGGGCTGCAAGGGCAGTAATGTGACACAGGCCAGTTTTGTGTGCAGTGTGTGCATGTGGGTCATGCACAGAGGTGTGTGCTGTGCAGAAGGGTGACTGAGTGCACACTGAATTCTTCTGAATTCTTGATTGGTTTTCATGCTGCAGTTTAGCTGTTTTAGGGTTAAAGCTACTACACAAACTCCCACATCCCTAAGACATCTCTAACTTCTTGAGGTGCAAGGAACTATCTGCAGAAAACACTGTTTTACGAGCTCTGAAAGTGCCATCTTTGCCAACAAGCTGCCAGATTTGCCTTGGGCTCTGAGCATTCCTTCTCCAAAGTCTCATCATAACTTCTCAAATAATGTTTTCCTTGGTGATTGAGGTTAAAATTCAGCCAATTGCCTTCAACAGGCAATAATGGAGCAGAGAGTGGTGAGGGAAGAGAAAGGAATCCTGGATTATGTGAGTGCCTTCCTTCCTTCTCCCTGTAAAATGAGAAAAATGATGCCTAAATGATGCTTTGGCAAACAACTGCTCTGTGTGAATTTGGTACAGAAGAGTCCAGTAAATAATTCCTTCCCCTTTGCTGTAGCCAGGAATTGTGAGCAGCTGCTGTGTGGTACAAGTTTAGGTTTAACACCACATAGATATTCTGCCTGATCCTCTGCAATCTCTTCCTATAATAATAATTCCTATAAATTTTCAGGCCTTTTTCATCAAACCTAGGGATGGTAACTTGGACTGCAAAGCCCTTTCAGTTTGGAAATGAACGTTTATGCTAAACCCCAAATTTCCTATTTTTATGCTCGCTGCATTGTCTTTGCCACTGGCTTTAAGAAATATACCAGATAAAAAAATAAAATAAAATATTTTATTAATATTAATATCATTAAAAAATGCTTGAAATTTGCTTTGGCAGTTTTTATGTGTTACTTTTGCAGTACCACAGGAAAGCTATTTTTACTGGAAAGTGCTGGAAAATTATTGAACTTACCCAAATGGAGGGCAATTGTATTAGGGGCAGTTCTTTTCCCCCCCCTTTTCTTTTTTTGTATTAATGAACCTGCTGAGCCTTAATTTAAATTTACAAATAATGTAAGCTCATGTGTAACCCTGCCCAAAGAACAGCTGTGTGCTAATGCAATCAGAAAAATTGAAGCTGGTTTGAGGGGAATTAAAGTCAGCCTGCATCAGAGGCTGTGACTGATACAGAGGATTTCTGCTTGTTATCCCTGCAATTATGCATTAGGACAGAGATAACATACAATTAGGAATAAAAATCTGGACTTCCTAAGATAGGAAGCTGGGAGGAAAATGCTTCTGTCACTTTACTGGCAGCTGTAAATGGCATGAGCCTGGTCAGTGTCACAGCGTGGTGATAACATAATGAGGTTAAGACCAAGGTTTACAACACCTTCCAGGGAAGGCAGCTCTGTTGGTTGTTTATGCTTTGGATAAAGAAATCTTCCTTCTGTTGTTTTGATAGTTCTGCTTTCCCTTCCTTGTCCTTCTTGCAGGAAGGAAATCCTGTTGTACACGAGTTAAATGTAAAGAAAAATCTCTTGTGTTTATATGTGGGCTTGTAATGGGATATCACCTTTGGACTAAACCTCAAACAGGAGCCCATGAAAAGAAAGATGGGATTTCTGCTTGCTTGTGTCTGCCCATGGGAAGGGGGCTTGTCCTTCAGGAATCTTGGCTGTCTCATCACCTACTCCTTATGGGAGTGTCCTGTAGAGCAGGGGATTCCTTAAAAAAAGAGAAAGTTGCTTCAAATTTTTTTATTCTGCCATTTTTAGTAGACTGACACAATAGGCGTGGATGTGACTACCTATTACATTTTTATATAGTGGAATAGAAAATCTCAGCTCTTGAATCAGAGGATTCTCGAGTCAGAACTCAGAACAGGCTCAGCTTTTCTCGTGTGAAGTCCGAAAGAGTTAGAGAGCAAAGTGGGGGCCAGAGGGTCTGGAAAATAAAGGATGGCTTTTCTGGCTGAGGGTGAGGAAAAAGGACACTGCAGAAAAGCTTTTGGATCTGTGGCATCCCTGCTCTCACCCTCCTGTGTGCCAGCTCCCAGCTAGTGAGTGTGCAGGGGAGTGAGGGATGGAGCACACACCAAGCTAATGATGGGTTTATTACCTTGGGCATGGTGCCAGCCCTGCTGCAGCTGGGACAGCTCACACTGAGAGTTTGAGGAACCAGGACTGAGTGACAGAAGCTGGAAGAACGCTGCTGAGGCGGCTGCAAAGCCACTGGAGTCAGAGTGAGGAGAGAGGAAACGGTGCCAAAAAAAAATCCTGGAGGGTTTCTTCCAGAAAGATTGTGAATCACTCTGTGATTCTGAGGAGGCTGAAGATAATGGAATTTAGGCTCAACATTTCCCAAAGTTCTCAGAAACCCTGCTTCTGACAGGGGGGAGCTCAGCATCCCTAGCTGCAGAGAAGCACAAGGGTGGAAGAATAAGCATTGGGTCTGGGGACATTCAACTTGTGTGCTGGCCCTGGAATTGGCAAGCTGTGTGGCCTTGGGTAAATTTTCACCCCAATTTTTCCATCACACCATTACATGAAATGTAATCACATTTCATTACGTGAAATGCTGTAGAAAAGACTGTAAGGGAAGGATCCCTAGCAATCAATTCCAAGATAGTAGTCACTAACTAAAACAGAA